GTTGCTCTCTGCGTCTTCCAGGGGATTCTTCAGATATCCTAACGCATCTTCATCTTGGAGCTCATGAAGCTAATTGACCGCTTCCAGTTGTCAGGCAGTTGGGATGCTCCTTTCACATTTTTTTTTTTTTTTAATTTGGAAATTATGTAGGAAAGGTTCTAGTTATTCACCATGTGCTGGCTTGGAACTGTGCCTACTTAATACTAAAAGGGAAGGGGCAGACATTGCCAAAACACCCTTTTCTTGCTTCCCATCCTCCATTTTAATTTTATTTCTTGAAAGTATAGCATGACTGCCTATCAGAAACCTTTGGATTCTGTCTTCATTTGCTTCCTGCCTCTTAGTCTAGGTTCCTGAATGCATGAGGATAGGAAGATAAACACATGATTCCTGATCTCTGAATCAGTAGCATCGATGGGGGAAGACACTCGCTAAATAGATTACAACAACACAATTTTAAAAAGCAGAGAAAGGAAGCTGAACTCGGCCAGACAAAGGTACATAGATAGGGTTTCTAGGAGAAGCCAGAGCTGAATCCAGAAAGGAGTTATCTAGAGTAAGGAAAAGATTTCCTGGAAAAAGACAAAACCTCTGCAAAGGCATGGAGGTGTGAAACTGCACTGCTGTTCTGGTTTGAGTCCAGTTTTCCTCACTTCGGGGTTGGCAGCAGAGTAAACACTTTTCAATGCTTCCTCCTTCCTGTCTGTGACGGGAAGCATTGTCCCTGCCCCTTCAGGGGCCAGGAATGATCCCCTACACACTGCAGGGAGCCTATGGCTGAGTAGAAAGGGTTCTGATGCCCAATCTGAGGCCTTGACCCTGGCTTACCCCTTCCTCATGGGAGGATTCCAAATCCTGCTGGAGAGTGGCTGTGGGACATCTTGCCAGGATGTGGGGATGCCGATGACCCAGCACTCAGAGCAGGCAAGTGTGACAGGTTTTGGAACGGGCTCTGATTATTCCGAGATTGAGATCTGTCCCATGGAGCTCAGTCTCTGCCAGGTGCTGACACAGTCATCAACAGTCCGGGCTGCCCAGGTTTCTTGTTAGACTGGATGAGCCAACTTTGTAAGAACCAGGAAAGAGACAACATGTGAAATAGATTGAAGCTATTTCAATCTATAAAAGTTAGATGTAGTTTGTAAGTCTATTTAAACTTTAGGCATGCACATTTCCTGCCATGAACAATAGGTAGAAGGAGGATTGGTTGGGGAAAAAAAAAACACTATTTTTAGCAAAGATAGAAGTGGAGAGTTCTTTTTAAAAATGTATTATAGTTCAATCATATACATTAATCCTTCTGAGGACCAGGTATTTTGCTAGGTGCTGGGGATGAAAAGATGCGTATGATTTGGCTCTACCCCAGCTGGATTTTGGAGTTCAGATGACCAATATTTAAGTAGAAAATTGTAGTACAGGACCACAAAGGATCTATCAGGGAGGTTTAAAAATGTAAGATCAGAGCATAGAATAGGGGGTGACTAATTCACCCCTGAGGACTAGTCACTTTTAAACTACATTGCAGGAGGACAAGGGAAGCCACTTTTTTGTTTAAGTTGAACTACATGAACTTGGCAACATTCAATTCTATTTGTCCAGAAAAAAAAAAAAGTCAGTTTCAAATAGTTTAACTCTAAGAGCAGGAATGGCATGAAGGTCTGATTCCCTTCAACTCTAATCAAATGGGAATCATTGCCTACTGGCTGTGTTGAGAATGCTTGTAAGGATTCCAGGTCAATAGGAAAGGATAATACTGAAATTAATTCCATTCTGGCTAAAGAGTGGGTAGTGGTATAAATTGACCCCAGTTGCCATCTTTAAATTATAAAGAATTTATTAAAAGCACAGAAGTCTGAGAAGTACCGATGTCACCATGTGATATAGATGAAGGTTCCTGGCATCTGACAGTAGAAGGTTTATGTTGAAGGCTAGGGACAGACAGAAGATCCAGCTCAGTGGACTCACTGAAGAGCTATGTTGAGGCTATATAGAGAAGCACTTGGAATGACCTTGTAGGCACTCTTCATACTGCTACTTGTACCTTATTACCTATCTGACTTACTTTTTAAAACACACACACTTACCCTTCCCTGCCCCAAAAAAATGCATGGAGGTTGCAGTGTTCTCTGCTGCTTTGGTTTTGTTGAATTCAAAGCTTCCTTTTTAAGAAAAGGTCACAAAGCACTAAGGGAACATACAGTAAGTACTTTGCAAATTAAATTGGAGGATACTTTTAGATACAACAAAAACCAAGTCCTGTGAAGGCATAGATTTTGTTTTACAAAAGGTCAAAATCATTGCATAAATATTTTTTCTTTTTTTTTTTAACTATTAAAAAAGTATCCAAAGAAGTTCTTTCAGTCCAGGTTCTCAGAATCCACAGCATAAAAAAAAATTAGGAATGCTTCATTATGCCCTGCCAGAGGTTAGCTTTCCAGGCAAAAATCTGTGCTGTGTCCCAGTGGTATTCTATAAATTGCATTGAGGATATTGCAAATTGACCCAAGGGTTTTAACCATACAATACTGAAATGTCCTTCTACGTATGTTTTTGTTACAGTTACACATTTTTCTCTTGAAATTTAGGCACCCCAAGAAACTTCAGATCTGATTTTAAAAGTGTTTTTTTTTTAACCAGGCATGCACAGAAGGCTGAGGAGCTTTCCCTAAATCCACCTGCTACGATCCTATTCTAGATGATTCTGATCTAATAACTGTGTGTGTCCTACAGAAACATTCATTTCTAAGATTTCTAGCAGTGAGCAGAAGCACATGGATAACCACTGCAGAGTCACACAGGAGTACTCATCAATAAAGAGCACTGACTGTAGAGGAGACTAACTGTCCTTCCTGGTATAGGTAGCTTGCCTCCCCTTGGTTGCTTTCATATCCCAATCTCCATTCTTTGAAGTTTGTTTTGTTTGCTATTAATCCCCAGTGACCTGCTAAAACTGGAAATACCAGAGGAGAGGTTAAACCATGTAAAGGATCATCTCATACCTTGTGATAAACCTTTTTTTTTTTTTTTTTTTTTTTTGAGGGGGAGTTTCGCTCTTGTCATTCAGGCTGGAGTGCAGTGATGTGATCTCGGCTCACTGCAACCTCCACCTCCTGGGTTCAAGCAATTCTCCTGCCTCAGCCTCCTGAGTAGCTGGAGTTACAGGTGCCTTCCACCATGCCCAGCTAATTTTTGTATTTTTATTAGAGACAAGATTTCACCATGTTGGCCAGGCTGGTTTCCAACTCCTAACCTCAGGTGATCTACCTGCCTCGGCCTCCCAAAGTACTGGAATGAGAGGCATGAGCCACCACACCTGGCTGATACACTTTTTAAATGAAGAAGAACTACTGGTTTAGCACAGGTGGATCATGACTGACACCCCCCTAGACTCTTGATATATTTACTACCGAGAGAAGGTTAGTTATTTTCAAGTTAATTTCACTGTTGTGTGAAGGGCTATTTTGGGGGTGGGGGTGGTTCTTCTCCAGCTATAAGCATGGGAAACCAGATCGAAAAGGACATTGGACATTCCTTCAGGTGGAGCCTCTGATCCTGGGCTGCTTCTCCCTGGGAAAGAGTGGATGGAGTTGTCAGACTGGTAACAGGGGAAGAGTGAGATGGGTTAGCAAGAATTGTATCTGGTTTACTCTCCGTTGATGACATCCCTGTGCAGTCCCTCTATGTGGCAGGACCCCACACACTTTGGAAGTTGTAACTGCATTTTTGTTGATCGTAGGGAAGATACAGAAGGATCATAGAACTATTCCCTAGGGCAAGTCTCCAAGGATGTAGAAAAGTTCCCTGTTCTGGGGAACTTGTAAGATTGGCTTATCATGGGAGATTGCTTTCCCGTGGTGGTCCTGACAGGGGAACCCAAATCAAACTGGGGTGGTTGACACCTTCCCTAGCCAGGGAAGTGACCAGAAACCACAGGGAGGCATTTCCATCACCAGTAATGGCTTAAAACTCCTCAGGATTCTAATTCTTTTCTAAGTCTTAGAGTTTGAGTCTTGCAGCAGTGGGAAAGTAGAATTGATACCCTGACAATTCCTGACCCCGGTCATCCCTGGAGTGGGTGGTTGTTCAAAATCTGTCATAGATTGAGAAGGTATCTCAGGATTCCGCCATTATTCGCCGCTGTAAAATTCCATCTTGCAAGGATAAAACTAGTGCCCTTCGCTTTAAATCAGGAGGAGGCAAGTCATTGCTGCAGTGCAGCCGCAGTTTGCAAGATGAGCTAGGCAGCCTCTCTGGCTGGAAGGCAGACAGCTTTAGGGAAGAAAGTGGGATTGCAGAAGCCAAAGATTCTCTCACCCAGTGTCCAGCGTGGGTCCAGCGTGGGTCCCAGGGATGGCAAAAAGTTTCAATTTTTGTTTCTCTGCCTTACTTTGGTTCTTCCTCTGAAGAACTGATTCGGAAAGACTGACGTTTGAAGGAAGGTACAGTTTTCCATAAATGTATCAACATGTATGCTTACTATTGATTGAGTGATTATTACATGCTAGCCCCTGCCCTGGGTACATCTCCAGTCATGCGATGCACAGCCCTTTCTTGGAGGTAGGTATATTTACTCCTATTTTCCAGATGGAAACGCCGAGGCACAGAGAGGTGCAGTGACTTGCCAAGATCACACACAGTGAAGAGGTGTCTGAGTCAGGCTTACTCTCTAGAGTTCCCTCCAATATTTCTCAAGTTCCCTTTTCAGGATATCATGCTGCTTCCATTCCTGATCTGAACCTGGGCCCTGGGGCAACCAGAGTACGCTACACAACCCCGTGTGAAAAGTCATGATGTGTGCTTGGCGGGCCGGGTTAAGGGTGGGGGGGGGCTTCCATTGATTCCCTTTGGCTACGGCAGGGGGCTTTGTTGGGTGCCCTTTTCCTGCGCTCTGGGATGTGGCTGTTTTCATTTCTCTGCGTTTCTCGGTTGCATTGCCATGATCTCTCAGGTGTAGTGTGCCAATTCCCAAACCAGATACCATCTCTCTCTCTCTTTCGTAGGCACGGTCCTGTTGTGCCAGGCCAACCAGGAGGGATCTTCCATGTACAGTGCCCCCAGTTCACTTGTATATACTTCTGCAAGTAAGCCCACTGTCGTGGCTCTTTTTGTTTTGTGACATAAATCTGAGTCCAATCACCTTCCCTGCCATGTAAGTGCTCTCCCCCTCCCTCTGCCCCTCCCTCTCTGTGGCTCTCTCTGAGGTGAAGTTAATTTTCATAAGCATGTCTCTGTCTCCCATGCCACTTCCCAGATGTCCTGGATATTCTTTGTTAGATCCATCAGGATTGGGTCCCAACGGTTGGAAATGTGGGCATGGGGTTGGTGGGGAGGGGCATGGGAGGGTGGGAAGCTCTAGCTTATTGCCTGCCTTCTATCATAGCTTTGCAAATTAATGTAAAAATAGTTTAAATAGCATATACGGGCCACCCAAAAGGCACTGTTGCCTAGCAAAAGATGCTTGACCAGCAGAATTCTTGTACACAGTTGTCTCACGGTGCAGCTAGTCACTTGTTTCCTAGGCTGTTCTGTCCTTTGCTATGTAATTTCAATAAGGAGGAGCAGGAGCAGGAGGAGGAGCAGGACCAGGAGAAGGAGGTGCAGGAGGAGGTGCAGGAGGAGGTGCAGGAGGAGGTGCAGGAGGAGGAGGAGGAGCAGGAGGAGCAGGAGGAGCAGGAGGAGCAGGAGGAGGAGCAGAGAAAGAAATGTGGTTCCCCCCTCATTTAATCAAGTGCAGGGGCAGCAACACTAAATAATTGTCTTTTAAAAAGTTGGGGCACTTGTAAACATAGGTAAGTCTAGCCATCAGGTCCTGGAGGGAAGAGACCCAAAATACAGGAAGTAGATCACAATGTTGACATAGAAGAACCGAAGATTTCTCTGCCTCGGATGGATGCTCTGGGTTGAAGGATGCCCTACCCTCACCTCAATTCCCAGAGCAGTTAGAAGAATTAAAGTTACCACTGACTCTACCATATTCTCCCAGAGGGTATACCCCCTTCTGAAAGAGTCTCCCAGCCACAGCTGAAACTTTATCACCTGTTCTATACAATGTGTGTAAATCCTGTGAAGTTTCCATAACTGCTGAATGAGTTGTCTTTAGGGTCAGTGCTTAAAAGTGAGTCCGGGTGCCTGGAGTAGGGTTGGGGGCTGCTTCTCAGAGTAGTTGTAAAAGGCAGGGATGGGGAGGAGAGCAGGAGTACCAGGCTTGAGGGATAAGAGACATAGGAGAATCCTCACCGTCTTCCCAAAGCCAAACATCTTCATTTCCTGAATTGTGAAGCTGAGGAAAAGCAACCTCCTCACTGTTGGGGCAAAGGTTACCACAGTCACAGGGTACCAAAAATATCATGTGACACACCCAAGGGTCTGAAGTATTCAGGAGGTCTGACAGCCAGTCGTTTCTCACAATTAGAGGGTGGTGGTTGTTGTTGATTTTGAGACTAAGTCTCGTTCTGTTACCCAGGCTGGAGTGCAGTGGTGCCATCTCATCTCACAGCAACTGCTGTCTCCTGGGCTCAAGCAATTCTCATGACTCAGCCTCCCAAGCAGCCTGGATTATGGGCATGCACCGCCACTCCCACTAATTTTTGTATTTTTAGTAGAGACGAGATTTCTCCATCTTGGCCAGGCTGGTCTCGCACTCCTGACCTCAGATGATGATCCACCTACCTCAACCCCCCAAAGTACTGGGATTACAGGCATGAACCACCGTGCCCAGCCCAGAGTATAGTCTTTAATGGCAATTTTGGCATTAATTAAATGCAAGACATTTTTCTGTGCCTCCCAAGAAGCCCAAATCTAACCATACTGGCAAGAAGTGGTTCTTTCTGAATTTGTGATCACAAATTCAGAAGGGCCTCCTTGGGGCCAGTGTAAATGTGTGTACATGTGTCTCCTGAAGTTGTAATGCTACTACACATTTTCACATGTCTAGCCTTGTGTATTCCTCTCAAAACCAGCACCAGGTAGGTATCACAATGGTTGCTTTACAACTGAGGAAATGGAGGGCAATCCCACAGCCAGTGTGTAACAGATTTGTCTTCTCAACCTGGGAAAATTATTCAACCTTCAGCTGCCTTTCTGAGTCCATTTGACTAAATCTGATCACTGTTCCATTTACCTGGTCTTCCTTCTCTATATTATTTTCTGAAGGAGAGTTGGTATGCCAAAACTTACCATAGGGCTGGGTCTAACATTGCGGCCCTATATAAGCATCTGGGATAAAATCTTTATGCTATCCAGTACAGTGCTGATGGAACTGAGGCACTCATTTTTATGTTGCATTTATTAGCCATATAGGACTAATGGTTACCATATTGGACAGTATGGCTCTATATGATATGACATATCTATATTTCAATTTTCTTTACACAAGTGAACAATCAACTCCAAAAGTGTACTAGTTTGAATTGGTATAGCTGTTCTAAAGTGAAATGGGGAAGCACCTCTCACTTTGCCATGAAAATATTTCCCAAGTTCTCCATAATAAAATAGCTGAAACATACAGAGAAAATAAAACCATCTAAAGCAAAGATCACCCAAGCCAGCCCGTGGCCTGTGTTACAAGGCTTATGAACTAAGAATGGTTTTTAGATTTTCCAAAGATTGAAAAAACAAAACAAAGAATGTGCCAGAGACCTAGGTGGCCTGCAAAGCCTAACATTTTAACAGTCTGGCTCTTTACAGAAGAAGCATACTGATCTCCAATTTAAAGGGTCGATTTTGGTATTAAAAATACAATATCACTGCCCTGTGTGTAGCTACTTTTTTCTATGTTTAAAGTAAAAATTTACAATTATGGAAATTGTATAATGTGCATCCAACATCCTTCATTTCTAAATTGTATCAGTCATATTACCTGCACATTTTATATCATCTCATGTGCTTTTTATAAAAATATGTTAACGGCCCCATAGTATTCTGTTGTTTCATGTTATATTTTAACCTCTTCCACTATTCTTGAGAACTTAGGTTCATATCAATTTTTTCAAAAATATTAAAATAAATGGCTGTTAATAGAGCAGTTTTAAAGAAAATAGCTAATTTTACTACCCCCTTAAAAAGCAAAACTAAAACTAGTTTCTTACATTAAGAATCTTCACTTGTCGATGCTTAAGCAAGGGTCTTCAGATTGTCAAACTCGATTAGTATTTTGTAATGGTGACCGACTCTGAGACCTCTCCCTCTCCAGTTGGGTAGCCAGAGGGGCCTTCAGTTATTTCTATGTACAGGCTGTGCACTGATGTTGAATGTTAAGTTTGTCTGCACATCCCTAAGATACATTGCTGCGGTTTCCTTTCTCCTTTATGGCTTTTTGGTCTAGGCTGTTTGTGGACTGCTGACTTTGCAACATTCCCTTACGTTTCTCTCTTCTGGATTAGATGCATATTCCAGTATAGAGCCATTCCCCTTTTCCTGCAACAGGTCAGCCAGCACATAAAGGGTCATGTGTGCATGCAGGCCTGTGCGTGCACACACGAGTTATATTCATAGTCATCCAGGATTATTCTCCTCCCAACAGGTTCGATTTGCACAGGTCTGAGAGTCACATATTTTGTCTTTGAGCTCTGATGGGTGCAGATTTTTTCTCTAGGAATCCAACCATTGCCCTGGAAAGCTGAGGCTACCATACTTCTCAGCAATCACATAGGATGCTTTTGTTGTTTAACTTGAAAATGTGTGTGTTCCTTATTTGTTTAACAGCTGTGCTCCTGAAGAAAGGTGTGTGTAAATTACCCTTTGGTTATGTTGGATCCTATGTGTCTACTGACTTCCAAGATAACTCTGGAGTTTTGTTTTTGGTTTTTATGCATTTTTTTTTCCTCCGTTTAACTGGCCTTAGATTTTTTAAGACTTAAATTGTACCTCTTCCTAGCCAAATAGCTAACATCTGTAAATAACACCCTTAAATGCAGTAGGGGAGATGGTTTTTAAAGGAACCCTGCTGGGTTAGTCTGTAATGAAAATAATTCCTTCTGAAGTTATCTGCTTTTGCGGATGCATTTTTGCATAATGGTGAGCTTCCCCCCCCCCCCCCCATTAAGTGGATCATCCTAATAATGTGACCCAGGACACATAAAAGTATTAAGAGAAAGATTTTTCACTCAAAACTTTGTTTCCATACAATCTAATTCCATAGAGTCTTCCATCGGACCCCAAATGACTCCAGTTTTTCTCCCTCACCCCGAACTTCATGCCGGTTTAAAACCCTAGTTCAAATTGTGTCACAGGTCATCATGCGTCCTCTTACACGTCCTAATAAACTACTGTCATCCAGAGTATAAAATGGGCCTGCTTTTTATCCGACTTAAATGAAGAAAGAACAAAACTCTAGAGAATTAGGCAAGATCACCTAGTATCAAATGGAAAACATTTGCAATTAGTATTTTTCAATAGGCTTTCAACAGAAACAATGCAACCCCTTAACAGAAAGGCGTAGTGAAACAGGCAGGGCTGCTGACATGTGGACTGTCTACCCCATTCCGAAGGCCAGCAGTCAGCCTGTTCCTTTCGTCCAGGGGAAAGGTGCTAGCTATATTAGTGTCAGCGCTGTTTCGCATATGGCGAGTGCCCAACATCAAAACTGGTACCAGGCAGAAACAGGAAGGTAAAGAACATACCACATCTCTTCCAAATTAAAACATGAATTTTATTTTCATTAGTTGACATATCAAAAGGTAAATCATTGGTTCCATGAATGAAAAAGTTCCCTTCTGATTCAGATTAGCAAAGCAAGCTATCGCAGATCCTGATTTACATATGAAGTAGATGTTTCCAGAAGGACGTCAATATTTGTTTTCTTCAGGATTTTATGAATATATTTTAAATTACAATTGTAACAGGTGCTCATTGCAATCAGTGTGAAGTGTGCAAATAAACACACATGCACACACAATTGGAATAATGTGGGAATAATATCCCTTTATCCAGTAACACAAACCCTTAAAATGTGTGTAGATGCCCAGTATCTTTCTACATTTTCTGCATGGTTATTCAGTAGAGGACATATACATATGCAATGGTGGGGGCAGGGGGCAGTGTGTTATTAGTTTGACTTTACAGAGGAGAGTATACACAGACG